TAGAATAAATAAGAGAAGAAGAACAGATGATGCACCTCGTTGTCTGCCATTATTTGTGCCAGCTTTTGTCCGGCTTTCTTTGGCGCGAGCCCCCGCCCCACATATCTCTTCTTCTTTGTATGTTTGGGGGATTACAAAGAAGAGACACGAGAGGGTTGCTTTTTTTTCTCCCCCCCCCCACAGTTGGCAAGTGGTAGAACCCAGCTTCTTCCCCTGACACACAGTAAATATTTGTTTGATAAACACGTGCTAAATAAGGCGTGTCTCAGGGATCTGGGAAAATGGCTATAACTGGTGGTCTCTTTGAAGCTGGTGCTGCAGTCCTCATTCTATATGGGTGTTCATCTTCTGTCCTGATATTCCCACATTTTCCTTGTCTCATTTGTTCCAGAGGTTTATAACAAATACGCCATTTGAAACTACTCTTCCTTTAAAAATTTCTAATTTGCTATTGAAAATACCATTCACTGGCTCAGACCAAGTGAGGGGTACTGTGGCTTAAGCTGGTAGCTGAATTTCAACACCATTGATAAGCCCCTCCTGCCATCACTTCTCAAAATTTACTATAGTCTGGCTGCTTATCAAACAGTGAGTGAATCTCAAACTTGGTGAGTTCCTCTTGCCTCAATGGACTTATATTTAGAATAACAATGCAGTTTGTTATGTGCCAGTGAGCTAGACAGTGCTAGGCACTTCGCATCCACTATACTTTCTAATATAAATATGCTATTGTTTGTTTTTCTGATGAAAATACTGCAGTTTAGAGAGGTGAAGTGATTTTTTCAGGGTTAACACAGTTATGAAAGAGGAGCACTAGGATTTTAAAACATTTTTAATCCTCACTCAAGGATATTTTTTCCATTTATTTCTTGAGAGAGTGGAAGGGAGGGGGGAGGAGGAGAGAAAGATGGAAGGGAGAGAGGGGGAAAGACACACAGAGAGAAACATCGGCGTGAGAGAGACACATTAATTGGTTGCCTCCCTCACACATCCCTGCAACCAAGGTACAAACCCTTGACGGGGAATCAAACTCGTGACCCTTTGGTACTTGAGCAGACACTCTAACCACTGAACAACCGGCCAAGGAAGGAGCACTGGAGTTTAACACTGTCTGACACTGTCTACTCAACTGTGTTATTCTGTTGGAGGTTTACTGTTGGTCTAACTGATCCTCCACTCAAAACATATTAAAGAGGATGCTGATGGAAAAGAGGACAAAAGGCTGGTTTCACTCATTTTCTTTAAAATAAAATATTAAGTTTTTCTCTCATTTAAAAGGAAGTCTGTTTTGTTCCATGAGATGATTATGGAACAAACAAGTTAGCGTTGGTTTAAGTGAGATAAGCTATATGGAAACACTCTAAGTTGTGGATGTTTAATAGTTATTAGTATAATTCGATTCTGACTTGTGTTTGAAGTGTTTTATTGCTTACCAAAGGCTCAGAACCCCAGCTGACCTGCCAATTCTGAGAGATTCATACTTACCGAGTGAAATCAATAGGGAGCATAACTAGGAGTTAATTTATGCAAGCGTCTTAACCTTCAGGAGGTTTTATGGACTATCTCCAGCTCTAAAACAGTGATTCTCAAACTGGGGCAATTTCACTCCCAGGGGACACTTGGCAACAGCCAGAGTCACTTTTGACCATGACTATCGTGCAGATGTATAATACCACTGGCATCTGGTGGGTGGAGGCCAGGGATGCTGCTTCACACCCTACAATGCACAGGAGAGCCTCCTCAACCAGCATCAATAGTGCCAAGGCTGCCAAACCTGCTCCCAGACACACCAGTAAGTGGGTGTCCTTGGTTTTGTCTGTTTCATTCTCTGCAACCTTCCCCTGTTATAGATACTATGCCAACAGTATAAGACGTGTAGGGATAATGAAGACACACTTCCTGTCCTCAAAGGACTTCAACTCCCCTCTGCTGTTTGTGGCTGGTACACTGAAAGAGAAATATTTGTTTTCCAAAGATGCTTGCTTATTTATGCATGACTGTCATGTCTTTAATATTTCATTGCTTTTATTCATTATTCTTCCTTGAAACATTGAGATGCTCCCCCATGTAGATCATCTGGCCTGAGCAGAAGTAGGTTGCTTATCCATTTCAGAACAGTATCCTCAATCTGACTGCAATGACAGTATCTAATTATGTGAACATTAGATTCTGTGTGTGTGTGGACAATTCATGGCATTGGCCAAGAAATGATCCGTGTCAGTTGTGACAGTAATGAAAACGTCAAACTCATTGTTCCATGAGCCTTTTCTTTCTCCTTACCAATTGTCAAGGCACAGGCTGAATCTGCAGACACCCTCCCCAAACAGTGTCGACCAAGCACAAGTGTGTTCAAGTGTATCTGGACTGTGATTGGCTGCACAGTTCTGGTTTCCCAGATGTTTGCAGCAGAAAAGTGAGCTGGGCTAGAACCACTGAATATCAGAAGTGGAATGGGGCACACTGCCTATCACTTACTTTACCTACAACATAGCTGAGGTTAAGAGAAGTCCTACCCACACCCAAGGACACAGCGTGTGGTGGAGGAGCCAAGATTAGAGCCGTGGTCCAGAGCTCTGCACAAAACCACTCCATAAAACTACATGCAATTAAACAATATACAATAAAACTATTTCAAACCCTGTGAAGTATACTACAGAATGTTTTAGCACATGTACCATTGAATCCTTTTAATAATCCCAAGCCCAAGATAGATGAGGAAATCAAGGCTCAGAGAAATAGAATGACGTGTGCAGAGTCACAAAACTAGTAAGTAATAAAGCTGCTGTCCAGTTCCCAGTCCTGAGCCTCTTGCAGGCCATCATCTTTTCTCTCTGACTAGCCTCTAAGCTTTGAGTCCCAATCTGGCTTTAGCTATACCAATTGTAGGAGGCCTTATGGTTGCTATATCTCTGCCCTAACTTTTTCCTGATCTTAATGTTCTAATATTTTATCCTTGTTTCTAAAATTATTTAATTCACATATACCATTCATTTTTATTTTAATGAGCCATACAAAGATCCTGTATCATTGCTGGGCTATACACAAGTGAGTGAATGAGTGAATAAAAGAATGAATGAATGAGCAAATGAACAGAAACCTAAGAGGCAGAGTGATGTGATGGAAAATCAACAGGTTTATATTCAATTCTACCACTTTGTCTATTCTCTTTGTCTTTGGATCTCACTTTCATTATCTGTCAAATAGGTCTAATGCAACTTGTCATAAGCATTGTTCTGAGCATAAAAATAAATGTAAAGCATGTGGGGAGGTACGGATGTTATAGTAAGAGTAACATAAACAAAGAGTCCTATTGAATACTAAAGGCCCGAATCATGAAATTTGTGCACGAGTAGGGCCCCTAGCCCTGGCTGGTGATTAGGGCTGATCAGGGCCTTCTGGCTGCTGGCCAGGGCCTCCCTTTGTTCTGCACTGCCCCCCTGGTGGTCAGCGCATGTCATAGCGAGTGATCAGTCTCCCAGTCAAACTCCCACAGGGACAATTTGCATTTTATATCTACACTAATAAAAGATAAACATGCAAATTGACCGTACCTTCACTATGCCTTAAGCCATGCCCACCAGCCAATCAGAGCGACTATATGCAAATTAACCCAACCAAAATGGCAGCCGGCAGCCACGGAGCTGGAGCAAGCAGGAGGCTTGGTTGCCCCAATGATGGAGGAAGCCAAGCTTCCCGCCTGCCGTGGCCCAGCTCTGAGCTCCACTCAAAGCAACAAAGTTTCAATTATAGAAGGTAAATAAACCCCAGATACCTGCTTTCAACCCACCCCAGCAAGAGTGGGTTGCCCCTGGCGATGGAGGAAGCCAAGATTCCCTCCTACCTGCCCTGGCCGGCTCTGAGCTCCTCTCAAGGCTACAAAGTTTCAATTATAGAAGGTAAATAAATCCCAGAATAAAAAGAAAAAAAGGAGAGGCTGGGAGCTTCCATTGCCGGGGGGGGCTTGGCCAGCCTGAAAACGGCCCTCAGCCCCTCACCCAGACTGGCCAGGCACCCCAGTGGGGACCCCCCACCCTAAAGGGGGTGTGGCCAGCCTGAAAACAGCCATCAGCCCCTCACCCAGGCTGGCCAAACCTCCATGGGGTGAGGGTCCCCACTGGGGGGAGGCTTGACCAGCCTGCAAACAGCCATAAGCCCCTCACCCAGGCTGGCCAGGAACCGCAGTGGGGACCCCCACCCTGAAGGGGGTGTGACCAGCTGCAAACAGCCATCAGCCCCTCACCCAAGCTGGCCAGGCACCCCAGCAGGACCCCCACCCTGATCCAGGACACCCTTCAGGGCAAAGCAGCCGGCCCCCACCCGTGCACCAGGCCTCTATCCTATATAATAAAAGGGTAATATGCAAACTGACCCTAAGAGCAGAACGACTGGGAATGACTGGTCACTATGACACACACTGACCACCAGGGGGCAGACACTCAATGCAGGAGCTGCCCTCTGGTGGTCAGTGCACTCCCACAGAGGGAGCTCTGCTCAGTCACAAGCCAGGCTGACGGCTGCCAATACAGCGGTGGTGGTGGGAGCATCTCCTGCCTCCTCAGCAGTGCTAAGGATGTCCGACTGCAGCTAGGCCTGCTCCCCGCTGGCAAGTGGACATCCCCCAAGGGCTGCCGGGCTGCCAGAGGGATGTCTGACTGCCAGCTTGGGCCTGATCCCCCCAGGGAGTGGGCCTAAGCCAGCAGGTGGACATCCTCCAAGGGGTCCCAGACTGTAAGAGGGCATAGGCCGGGCTGAAGGACACCCCCCTCCCTGAGTGCACAAATTTTTGTGCACCGGGCCTCTAGTATATAGATAACTAAGATTAGTTCTCTGAGCCTAGACACAAGGCATCACTCGCACTAGGTTTAGGAAGGGCACTCACGTGAGTTGGTTGATGGTGTGGTAGACGTCACAGGGGTCAAATTCAACTGGGAGATGTCAAAGTCATCACAGTCATCTGTATCCTGTGCCACCCCGACTTTGCTGAAGTAACTGGAGAAGGCCTCTGAGGTACAGGTGAGGGAGGGTTGGTCGGGTTTGCGGGAGGGCACGGGTGGAGGCTGGGCCATCTGGAAATCCTTAAACATTTCTTTCCCCATTTTCTGTCTGGGCTTGTCGGTCTGTGGACTTGACTTGGCGGAGTCACCCGTGGCTGGGACGGTTGCGAGGGGAGTGAGGGGACCTTGGAACATGGCGGCTGGCAAAGGCATAACAGTTTGTGTGGGCATGAAGGCGGCTGGCGGAAACTGCCCGGCCACAGCTGGCCAGGGCTGCTGAGTGGCAGGGAAGAGACCCGGCTGGCCCCATGCGATGGGCTGAGCCCCTGGCATCACCTGAGCGACTGGTGGCTGAGCACCCATGGCGATCTGCTGTTGCACGAGGGGCTGCTGGCCCCAGAAGGATGGGAGGACGGCGCCCATGGCAACGTAACCTGAAAGGTGGAAAAGGAAAGTCAGGCATCCTGGGAAGGAATGATTTCTGGAGTCAGGTGACTGGCCAAAAGGTACTGAGCAAACCCCTGAGTGTCCAGCTGTGTGCTAGGGACTGGGGATGCAGGGATGACTAAGACAGAAGTCCCTGCTCTCATGGAGCCTGCCTGCCAGAGCAGTGGTCAGGGAAACCTCTCTAAGGGGATGACTCGTAAGCAGAAACTAGACTGCAGTGAGAGAGCAAGCCAGGCAATGTGTGGGGGTGAGAACAATACTGCCAGTTGTTAAAGGCTTCTGACATCACACAGCCTCCACAGCCAGCGTGTCTCAGTGGGAAGGGCAGAGGACTAGGAACCAGGCCTGGCTGGGTTTGAATCTTGCCTCCCCTTTTTGCTAGACCCAGCACTTCATCCCCATTTTCAAATTTTTTTTCCACTGGCACCTTTTCCTCCAGTCAATGGAGACAACACTCAACTTGCTCTCTCTCGCCTCTGCTGGTCCATTTGCCTTTAGAAAGCATCTCCTACTTCTTCGTGTATCTACCCCTTATATACTCTTTGAAACTCAGTTTAGCATCACCTCCCTGTTCCCTGACCTCTTGGCTCACTGGTTCTCCTTCTCTGAGCTTCCACAGTCCTCATGTTCATCTCTCTCATGGCACTTGTCACACTGCCTTGTAATTGCCTGCTTATTCTGTCTTCCCTCTTAGACTAGAAACCACCTTCTAGCAGAAACGCTTTATTTTCTCTCCCCTAGCCCTTGTGTCTAGCACAGTTTGGGGCACACATTGGCTGCTCCATAAAAGCTTGAGCTGGGGAAAGGCTCTCTATAAGGTGAGTGAGTCATAGTAGAATGAATACCTCACTGCATCCTTCCAGGGATGCAACTAGACTCCAAGACCTGTAAGTGCTGTGATCTCTGGTGAATCTACTGTTGGTGGCAGGACATTTTTCCCCCCTCCTCATCATTTTTTTTCCTACAAGGAACCAACAGATGGATTGTGCACACTTTTCTGGAGAGAGCTATTAGCATGTCTCTGTGGCTTCATGCCATCTGTTTCAGACCAAAGTACAATATTCAACAGGAAAAAAGGCAGCACAGGGTAACTGGGTATCATGTTGGAGAACATGCAGGTCTCACTTGCTTTTCCTGTGGGGGGCAGTGCCTGCCGCCTGGGCTCCTCCCAGACCTGCTTCCTAGGTGCTCTGGCCACACAGCATCGCACATGCCTGGTGGGACACCTCCGTGGCAGGACTGTGGCAGCCCCGGACACAGGGAGCCACTTGGTGGCTGCTACTGCAGCCACATAACAGCTCAGACTGTTTACTCATTAACGTTCCACAGCAGAGGGAGGAGGTGCCAAGGAGCATCTGTTTATGCCACTGAATTGAGATCAATCATAAACCTCCTTGCTGTGAAGTGAAGAGAAACACCTGCATCACTGCCTTGCAGTGAGATTTTTAAAAAGTGTTGAAAATTGCAATTTATAACCAGATGCTGGTATATGTTGGGGACATGCTCATTATTTGATAAAAAGAAAAAAATATCAGACTAAAATGTAGGAAAACACTGAAAACTAAGGGAGTACCCAAAATATATATAGAACTTGCATGGTGCCTCTCATCTACATGATTTCATTTGACTGACTGATTGATTCAGTCATTCATTCAGAAATATTCCTACTGGTGCCAGCACTGTTTTAGACTCTGGAGATTCAGTGAAGAACAAAACAGTTGAAAACAATCCTTGCCCTCGTATAGCTTACATTTTTAGAGAAACTGCAGCTTCATGGGGGAGGTTTGATGCAGCTACATAGAGCACAGGGAGCAGAGCAGGGCTCCCGCTGAACAGGTAGCAAGCATCAGGTGAGTGGTTCTTATGGAAACACTGCCAGGCACTGCTTTAAATATTTTACTACATGTATTAACTTGTGCAGTCCTCAGAACAGCCCCACGAGGTGGAATCCTTATTCCCATTTTACAGATACGTTTCCTAAGGCTCAGAAGAGATTGAGCTGAGTATTACACAGCTGGTTAGTGGCGGGGTCTCACATTCTCCAGGCCCCCAGGTTCTGGGGCCAGCTCTGCCATGTGCAGTCAGGAGGCCAAGGACCTAAGCTTTATTAGATTCATTAAAAAAAACATTCCAAGAAGATAAAGGGAAATAATATAGGTACGACAAGATGAATTTTCTTCTATTGTAGGAATCAGAGTAATAATAATAATAATAATAATAATAATAGAATTTTCTACATGAAGCATCTACAAAATACCAGCCTTTTTCAAGGTACTTAACTTTCCATTTAATCCTCATGATATTGTTGCAGGTAACTATTATTTTCAATTCAGTTAGAGAGATGAAGAAACTCTGGCTCTGACAGGTGAAGTAATTTGCCTAAAGCTTATAAATACATGGCAGAGCCAGGATTCAGACCCAGTCCATTGGCTGCAAACACCTCCCACAGCCTGTCCATTGTACCACATGCCCCACTCCATTGCCCCGTCCACCTGTCACTGGCCCTACAATTAGGGACAGGTGGATAGAGATGCAATAGCTGCAGAGATTTTTAAGGCCAGTTAAGGAAGGAGAGAGGCAAATCATTTAACACCAACTGAAGCCTAGTTTTGCTCCTCACTGTATTTTAAGTAAAATAAGAAAGCAAAAATATGCTAATTAAAATTAATTTTAGACTCATGTTCTAAAACTTGGAAGCTTGGAAGCAACCTATTCACTTTTTTTTTTTTGGTAGCTGTATAAACCAAATCTGGACGTGCGGAAATGGCTTGTCCATAGTAGCCCTCCCCTGGCACAGGCTTGGGGACCGGCCCAGGGTAGTGCTACCTGGCACTGGCACAGGCTTGGGGACAGGCGCAGGGTAGTGCTACCTGGCACAGGCAGGTCATCAGGTGTCCCACCCTCTCACTTATAGGGAGGGGAACGGAGACCAGAGAGGCCAATCATCCCTCCTCTGCCTGGAGTACTCCTAACCCCGATACCTGCTTGGCTCTCACCCTCACCACTCCCAGTCTGCTCACGTCCCTTCTTAGTATGAGCCCCTCCTGATTATAACCTCTACTCATACCTGCCCTTCACCTGCTCCAAAGCCCACAGAGCCAGCTCTACATTTTCTCTTTGTCCATACCACTTATCATTGTCTCACATGTTATTTCTATGTTGTTCTTTGTCTCCCTGCTAGGAAGTAAGCTCTTTGCAGGCAGGGATCTGTGTGTGTGTGTTGTATTCTCAGACACACCCCAGGCACCTAGAACAGAACCTGGGACACAGTGGGCCCTCAATAAATATCTACGGGACAAATATGCCTGGGAATTAGTGAGTTTAGTGCCTGGGGTTGCCATCACTTGTCCAGCATATCTTCATGAATGACACAGCACAGGGATTCTGAACACAGGGCTGGCAGCACAGGAACATGGTGCATTTCTGATGGAAACTGCTTCTCTTATTTAAAATGACACACAAGGAAATTTAAAGATCCTTTTTGGGTAAAGAAAACTATTCCTCACCATTATCCTGTTTTAAAAGTGGATAAAACATTCAATTGGGAAACTTAGCAACTGAATACATTCTAGGCTAGAATTGCATCTTCTAAATTGTAAGCAGATCCAGTGGCTACTGACCTTTGCTGCTTCTCAAAGTTCCTGGTGATCTCTGGGCTCATGAGGAGTAAGTGTAACTATTTCAGAACAGGGTCTACATTTTTAATTCACTTTGAATAACAACAAGGTTTATATTTGGTGGCAAGAATTTGTTTCTAACACTGTGTAATTAAAAGTAATTATTTATAGAAAAAAATGCAAGAAGATTTGTATTCTAGAATAGTTAAACTCCATTTCCTATTTATAAGATTATAGTAGAAAAAGAAAGATGAAGCTACGAATTTCAAATATGTAGTTAATGAAAGCGAAAAAGTCTAAGTCTCCCCCACATGCAAGAAGCAAAACTAGTCCCATCTTTGGCTGTGTCCACGCCATGAGGACTGGCCACATGGAGTGCCTGATGCCATCCAAACAAGATGCCTGAGCTCCCACGATTTGTAGCTCACCTTTAATACTGTTCCTGTTGTAAAGTAGTCTATGCTTTTCATAAAAGAATATTTGGAAAAGAGAACAAATACTTTCTGAATCAGCGGTCGCCAACCTTTCAGACCTCAGGGAACACCGGTTGGTGACCGCTGTTCTAAATCACTAACAGCCCCATCATCCTCCCAATTCACCATGAAGTAGTTTGCTCTGTCCCTTAGGTTTCCTGTATGGGGACCCTCTCCCTCCTAAATCTCCACCAAACCAGGAGGCAGATCACGTCTGTCCATCAGAACACAAGAGGTCTTTGGAGAACAGACTCACCCACTCCCCTTGGCCACCTCTTCTCCTCTGGCTCAGACAGACAGGAAGAAATGGACTTGCGCTGATCTGCATGGCTGTGTGTGCACCAGGCTCCCTAAAGCTAACCACCTGAGTAACATGGAATCTTGACCATTCCATGTGAAGGCCATCACTATATTCCAGCCAGCAGCATACCATACCTCTTTGAAAGGCGCCACCCCACCCGCCACCCCATGGCAGCTTCTCAGTGTCACCTGAAGAGTTACGACAGAACAGTGCTTCCACAGGTGCTCTGGAACATCTGGCGGCTGGTCCAGCCCTTTCTGTAAAGGAAGGGAAGCAGGTGGAAAAAAGAGGGCTTACCTGAGGGTACAGCAGCAGTGCCGAAAGATACAGAACCAAACATGTCTGCACTCGCCGGAAGTGTCTGAGATGAAGACGGGATAAAGGCATCACCTGGAGTTGCAGGAGTCTGTCAGAGAGAGGGGGAGGATGCATAGGACGCATGAGGCTCCTGGGAGACCTGGCTCAGTGTTCATCCAGGATGGGAGGCAGCTGGTGCAGGAACATGTGTGTGTGTGTGTGTGTGTGTGTGTGTGTGTTTGGGGGTAGGGGGGATGCTGCAGAAACCAGCCAGGGTCCGGCCACTTAGGTGGTGTGCAAACCACTAGCTGGTTACACAGATTATCTGTAAAATGGGCAAAGTGATACCTACTCCTAGAGTGACTATGAGGATTAACTGAGGTCATGCATTCAAATCACTCAGCACCATGCTGAGGCATATAGTAGGTGCTCAGCAAACGAAAGCCAGTATCGTGACTATTTAGTTTGAGCCCCTACCCCTTAGGGGTGTTTTCAGGCCTTCAAATTATCCCATAATACCTGGATTTCCTCCTTTAGATGCAGTCAATCCAAACTGACATAATCCATTCAGAATCTACTACTGTGCACCCACCAGCTCTGGGCTTGTCACTTAAAACACAGTCAGTAAATAGTTGTTGACGAAATGAACAAATAAAGTTTAGGAACTGGAGCAGAGGTCCTTGTATCCTGGTGCCTCCCTGAATCTTGCCTGAATATTCACTTGCAAGAAGAAGTGTAGAATTCCAAGAAGTTAATTAAAAAAAAATGCCTGAGCTGTAAACTGCATAGTGCCTGGCCCAGGCTGGGGTTCCAGGAAGGTCTGTGGCATGAACTGTTGGGGAAGGTGAGGGGCACTGAATTAAAACCATCAGTGTGCAGTTTCTTTTTAAAGGTCCTCCCCTATTTACAGAGGCCGTTTGCCTATAGTGTATATATATTCAATGACATAACATTCTTATCCCCCCCACCCCCCACACACACACCCTGAGGATAGACTGGGGCAAGCAATTAATCCTGAAACCATGGCGATTAGACAAGGCCGTTTAGACTAGCAGCTTGTGAGAAGAAGGGCATTGTTCTGAGGATAATTAAATACCCATTTGGACTGCACTGGGGTTCAGGGCCAGGAACACAGCCATGAGATGCTGCCGTAAGCACTTTTAAACACAATCAACATCATTCCCTTTCCCCCTATGTGACCTTGGTGAGTCACATGCCCTCTATGGGCCTCAGTCTGCTCATCTGTAAAATGAAGGGAATAAGGTTAGAAGATCCCTTCTGGCCTTTCTAGCTCCATAGCCCAGGGTTCTGACATTCCCAGTGCCCAGGACACAGCTGTTTCGCCCAGGGATGGAGCAGGGATGAGACTGGCTAGAGCTGCCGGCTTCCCTGGAGACAGGAGCTACTGTCCCCGCCTTCATGGCTGCTCTGGGCATCAGGTGTTGGGGGCAGAACAGCTGTGTCTAGATTCCCTGGCGGCAGCTGGGGGCAGCAGGGTCTCGTGCCATCTGTCCTCAGTGGTGAGGTTACAGCCTTTTCTCTGTGAGGCACATCTCGCCAATAAACCACAGCACCGTCCCTGGTTTTGAACAACTGCGCAGTGCCCTGGGGAGCTGCCCTCTGCCAGCAGCTTCAGCTGGTGCAGCTGTGCTGACTGCGCCCCACCCACCTCAGGGAGTGGAGAGTGGGGGGAGGAGCTGAAGGGGCCATCTAGCTGGCTCTGTTGTTTGCAGTGGCTGCAGGGTGGCCTTTGAATGCACCCAGTTCTCTGGGTTTCTATTTGGTTTTGGTTTTAATACCCTTTTTTCTTCTTTTCATTTCCAAATGAGGGCTTCCTGCAACCTCTGTCTCCCTGCCAGCAACGACTGAGGTGCCTGCTGAACCTGGAGCTGGAAATCAAGCTTTGTGAGCTCAGTAAAGCCAGCAGGAAGGTGGGAGAAAGAGAGGAAAGAAAAAGGAGAGAGAGAGAGAGAGAGAGAGAGAGAGAGAGAGAGAGAGAGAGAAAGGCAGAAAGAAAGGAGAGAGGGAAAGGAAGAAAGGGTGGGGAGAAGATGCTTCCTTTACTGGGCTGACCACCTGGCCGTGCAGGATGGGTAGGTGCTGTCAGATGCCTCATGGCTTTGCTGTCCTGTTGAGTTTCCTGCCCTATTCCCAGCTAGGTAATGTGCTCCTGCAGGCAGCAGCCACATCCCATTCATGTCTCCGCTGCCCAGCATAACAGCAAGTCCCCAGGTGACCTGTAATTGCTAATGCACGGATGTATCTATTTCTCAAAACAGAAGCCTGTATCATAACTCCTCTTAAAAGATAGCCTAGGAAATTGAGATTTAGAATCACTAGTTATTTTTCCCAGATCACACAGCTTGAAGGAGCCAGGGCTGACCCCCACCAACAGGCCTCTGCTACAAAGCGCACATGCTTTTCCCTGGGAGACCGAAGAAGGGAAGGGCAGAGATGCCGGGCACAGAGGGCGGTGCATACTTACGGGGGGAGAGGTTATATCAGGAGGGGTGGACATGTCCCCAAAAAGTTCTAATTGGGTCACAGCCTGAAAAGACATAAAAGATAATGATGTCACCAGGAGGAATACTGCTGCTGCGGGGGTACTTCTTGAAACACAGCATCCTAGGAGGACGAGTATTTCTCTTTCTCAACATCCCTACATAAACAATAAGCCCAGTTGGTCATTGCTACACCTCATGACCCTAGAAACAGCACCTGGGATGCGGCCAGAATCAATTCTTGCTTCAATGTGTCTGGCTGTTTATCCAGACTCAGTCCAGGAGATCCGCGCTTGGCCGCCTCCCATCAGCAATACTAAGACCCTTCACATGTATTTACCACCGATGCCAGCGCTGTCTCCCTTCTCCAGGAGATAACACAAGAAGGCAGTCACATCATTGGTTTTTCTTTCATGCGTGTGTTCACTCATATACTTAGCCCTTCACACACTAAGTACAGTAAGACAGACTTCACGGCCACCTCTCCGTGCATGCCCCCAACAACAGTGACCCTGAGAAGAAGGCATCATCATCATCCCCATTTCTACAGATGAGTAAACTGAGCCTCACAGAGGTGACCTCACAGAGGCTAAGACTTAAGTTTTCTCCATGCGGGGTATGCAGTCAGATGACAGTCCCTGAAAAAGTCTGTCTTGAGAATAAAAAATGTAGTTGGAGGAAAAGAAGTCATAGTATTTAATACCAGGAAGGGCATCAGAAACAGCCCAGTGCATACACTATTAATCAGTCCTCAGAACTCCATGGCTGCAGACACCATGTCATCTACATTCCCCATCCATCAGCCAGTAGCTGTGGAGGAACCCTTTAAGATACACTTAGAAATGAAACTGCAGACTGTCCCAGCTGCAGAGACCATGGGGAGTCCCCAGCCAGAATCCCAGTGGCCTGACTTAAAGTACATAATCATATGCTTTGTGCAAACCTGCCCCCTGAGGGAAAAACACTCTGCTTCTCCTTGGATTGCACAAGTCTCATTAGGGGAGCCTAAAACCACCCAATAGAAAGGACAGGGTGCATTCACCTGCTTGCCATGCAGGGCCCCTGCACCTGAATTCCTATCTCTACAACTTACCACGAAGAAGGGAACGCTCTCTCCTACAGACAGGTGAGGGGCTCTGGCTGCTAGACAAGGTGTCCACCTGGGCATATGTTTGGGTTCTACCACCTCCGATCTATCTCTGCCACTCCTCAGAGCTGCAGTTCCCTCACCTGGGCAATGGGATGGTAGTATCTCCTTTGCAGATTTATTGACAACACTAATAGCAGGACTTTCTTTGGAGTTTGGTAAAGCCCGGTTTAACAGGTACCAAAGGCTCTTTTGGCTGAAAGCAGCTTAGCCTGGCTAACTCACATTCAACTCTTTCCTTTAAGCTTTCAGATGAGCAGTAGTGCCTGGCATAAAGCAGGGCCCTGTGCATGGTGATTTCCTTCCCAACCATGCAATGCTTTTTCCGTACACACCGGATGAGTGGTAGGTGGTGGGCACTATGCTAGGTGCTGGGAACAGAATAATGAGAAATGCCAAGTTCCTGCCTGCAGGGAGCTTACAGTCTGGTGGGACAACCCATAGACAGAGCTAATTTCAAGGCGTTGTGGCAGGAATGGCAACAGATGTCTCCATGGGCCAGCCTAGGAGGGACCAGCCAGCTTTTGGCAAAGAAGCTCAATGAGGGTTTTCTCAAAGAAACAGCCCTGATCTGAGTCCTGAAGAAGAGGAGCAGTCACCCAGGCAACCAGGATGAGGAGGGGCCATCCGGGCAGAAGGAAATACAGGAGCAAGAGGGGCAGTGGCCCCAGGCTATCTAGCAGTTTGGTTGAACCAGCGAGGGTGGAGAGAGGAGCAGGAGAGGAGACCAGCGAAGGGGGCAGGGCCCAGCTCCTGTGGGACTCAGCACATTTCAGTCTTTTCTGCCCACTCTCTACCAACCTGATTCTCTCCCAAAGGATAATGGTCCAAGGTAACGAGATGGTAACAGGGTGGCCAGCATGCTGGGTGCTCTCCCAAATCTGGCTGGACCCTAAACACTCCTTGTTTCCTTAGCTTGCTTCCATCATTTTACATTATTTGGTGAAACTATGCCAATCCTTTAGACTTTCTCTCAAATTCACAGGAGTAATAACTCTAACGCAAATGAAGCTTCTGGGCTTCCTACAATTGGAACTTAGTGCTATTAAAATGGTCCCCAGTATTTTCACTGGTAGGAAAATACTAAAATAAAGTTAATAATTAAGTTTCACAATTTACATTTCAAATGTGTTGACCTCATGGCACACTGTTGCTAACATTGTTCATATAATTTACTGGCTCATTTTCTCCTTAAACACAACTTTTATTTATTTATTTATTTATTTATTTTAAACACAACTTTTATTTTCGTTTTTAAAGATGAAAACACAATGTTTAAAATAACTCTCATTCTTGAGATGTAGACTTCCCCCTTCCTGATGGTTTTCACTCAAGGACTGAATGAGAAAAGCATGCAGAGGCGTAACACATAGATTGTTATTTCATTCCATTGGACTTGCTGTTTAAATGGAACCTTGAGTTAATTTATATTTTATATAAAAATGGATTCTTAGGCCATATAATTAAAAATAATTCTAATGGCTATATGTGATTGAGAATCTGGAGTAACATCTCATCTATTTTGACAACTTCCTTCCCCATGTTAACCCCAGACATTTTATTTGTAACCTAACAAACCACGTTCCTTCGAATAAGATTGTCATAATGAATCACTTAAGGTTCTGAAGAGAATAAAACTAACCATCAAACATTGTACAGTTTACAATACACTTGGTGATACGTTATCATCGTGTTTGATGCTCACCGAGCCCCATGACATCGGCAGCACAGGTGTCTCTCTCATTGACTGTATTTTGCAGATGAGCTAACAGACCAAGAGGTTAGGTGACTTGCCTCTGACCCGTGAGCTAACAGAGCTGGGCTTGACCCGCAGCCTGAGCAGCATCTCGTTTATCTGTCACGTCACAGAGCCTTGGTTACCTTCCTACCCAGTGGAAGTCCAGCTCCATCGTGCTCTCTAACCGGCAGCTGAGCTCCTAAAAGGTCTGCCACGAGTCACATCCATCTGAAGACGTCACCTGGAAGGCCGGCTCAAGGTGCCTCCTTGCCTTTCCATTACTAGCACTTCAGACATATTCAGGCGAAGAAAGACTTGGCAGTCGCTGGCAGATTCTGCCCCTTCTTTAGGCCTGGCATTGTCCAGGGTAAGAAGAGTGACAGCGGAAGATGCCAAGACCAGAGACGGAGAGGATGGGTAGCTTGGGTGTTGATGGGGCATCCCATCAATGTCTGCATCAGACCTGTCCCTCCACAGCCATCCTTTGATACGAACAAGTGATGTTTTCACAAGAGTATCTGCCATGTTACACAACCACTATTCCAAGGTTAGCCTCCGGGTCCTTCGTTCAACTAGAACACATGGGCCACGAAGTTTCAATTGCACTGTACGTGCATGACCACACGTGGTATTTTGTGGAAGAGCCACACTCAAGGGGCCAAAGAGTCACATGTGGCTCGCGAGCCACAGTTTGCCGACCACTGAACTAGACTACGGCAACTAGACTCCTAGCCCCTCCTACAGAGAAATTCTGAAGGCACCACTGCTGAAGGCTGAGATGTCCTTGACTGACCCCAAGTCACATTCTTACTACCTATGTTTGGCATCAGGAGGTCCTTCATTTAGGAAAAGTATGGCACATCAGCTACTGTGCCAAGAGCAGGGGATACAAGGAAGAATGAGGCACGTTCCTGCTCCTACTCTCATGAGCTGGTTACTTGAAGGAAAGGCAGGCCTACAGACACAATCAGGGCAGTGCCATGAGCCCAGAAGCACAAGGGCTATAAAAGGAAAGGCCACCTCAGGCCTTTGCACATGCTTTCCTCCTACCTAGAACACCAATTCCTTCCCCCATTGCCTGTCCACCCATCATCCTTCAGGGGACAAATTAGAGGACTTTTCCTCCCCCCTGGGAAATATCTCCTAACTCAGTTTGCACCCCATGGCACTACTCAGAACAGCTGTGTGATACTTTTATTTCAGTGGTCTCAACCTTGGATACACACTGAAATCACCAGGGGGAAAATACTGATGCCTTCTTCACACCCCAGGAGATTCTGTACAGCCTAGAACCTAAAACTTTAAAAGCTCTCCTGGTGATTCTAATTTGCAGCCAAGGTCAAAAACCCTAGAAGCCTCCCAAACACCCTCAGGGGTGATCATATTCATTGGCCTATATATCAGCCAAGCTGTATACTAGTAAATATTGGTTGTAAACCAGTACATCTACTTTAGGGTATGCTGACTGAAGAACAATCTTGCGTGTCTTTTATTCCCAATGGGGCACTTAGCACATGCTGTTTCTGTGTTTGAATACCCACTACACTGTCACACTATCTACATTCCCCTAGGCCTGTGGTCGGCAAACCGCAGCTCGCGAGCCACATGCTGCCCTTTGGCCCCTTGAGTGTGGCTCTTCCACAAAATGCCAAGTGCGGGCGTGCACGTACAGTGTGATTGAAACTTCGTGGCCCGTGTGCAGAAGTTGGTTTTCAGCCTGGGCGAGTCTATTTTGAAGAAGTGGCATTAGAAGAAGTGGGGGGTGGACATATAGAGAGGATGAACGAAAGGAGATAGACGAAACAAGTATACAAGACAAGTGTGGATGGGAGAGTTGGAAGGGGTCGACCTCAGCGAACGTACCTCAATCAGATTGAGGACGTTTTTAGCAAAGGCCAGCTTAGGAGTACCCTAATTAAGTTAATAACGATGTACCTACCTATATAGTTTAAGTTTTAAAAAAATTGGCTCTCAAAAGAAATTTCAATCGTTGTACTGTTGATATTTGGCTCTGTTGACTAATGAATTTGCTGACCACTGCCCTAGGCCACCCCACCATACCCTACTCTTCCCTCCCCTACCTTCTCCACCCACCCGACCTTATCCTATCCTATGCTAAGCAGTGTTGCACTGTGTTGTAGTATGAGCGTCTTCCTCTTCAC